GACTGAGGATGGTGTGCTTCTTCCATGTGGACTTAGTTGACATCTCACTTAGATGGCTGCTTGTTTGGAGACAAGCCTTTAAGACCCCAGACACTATTTTATCTGATAGCCGCGCACCACCTAAATTCTTCTCCACAGTTTGCTAAAGCACTTGGGTCTTCTGTGTCCCCCTTCTGAGGGCGAGATCGAGCTGTTGGAGCCCAACTCTTAACCCACTGCACCGCCAGGGCTCCTAGATAATAGTTGTGGTGAAGCTAAACATGCTACAAGGTTTACTTGCGGGATGAAGTTTAACATGATGCTTTTTTGGGGATCACAAAAGAAACACTTCATTTTTAGGAGCAATAGCTATGTTTATATTTATTTCACAGGCTTATAAGTATAAATAATTAAAAAGTATGGTGGCGTATGGTTATGAGTTGGACTGTAATCCACAAGGTCAGCAGTTCTAAAACATCAGTCATCCCTCAGGAGAAACACAACACTTTCTACTCCCACAAAGCATAGAAACCCACAGGGGCAGTTCTACTCTGGCTGAAGGGTTGCTGTGAGTTGATATGGACTCAATGGCAGTGAGATACTGTCTTTAGTATTATCCTGTTTACTCACAAGATAAAGAACTAAATAAGTTATATTTTATGTGTTGTTGAAAACAATCATTGGTGGGAATAAGGTCAAGGCAGTAAAGATAAACCAGTTGTCATCCAGTCAATTCTAACACATGGCTTCATTGTGTGTGTCACTGTAGAAATGTGCTCTATTGAGTTTGTTAGTGGCTGCATTTTTTGGAAGTACATCACCAGGCTTTTCTTCTGCGGTACCTCTGGGGGCACTTGAAGCTCAAATCTCAGTTATCACCTTTTGTACCACCCAGGATTCCATAGTAAAGATTTAGAAGCAGCCGTGGAAAAATTTCCAAGAGCATATGAGAACCAATTAAAAAATAAACAATTCAGGATATGGGCCTATACCTCTGTATTTGTGTAACACTGAGCCAATTCCAAGTCATAGCGACTCTATAGAACAAAGTAGAGCTGCCCTGTGTGTTTCTGAGTCTGTAACTCTTTATGACAGTAGGAAACCTCATTTTCTCTCATGGGAGTGGCTGGCAGTTTTGAACTGCTGACTTAACCATTGGCAACCCAACACTGATGTGGTGGTTAGCAGCCCAGTACATAACCCAAGACACTACCAGGGCTCTAAGTCTCCATACAGTTCCCTTTTAAAAATTAACTTTATGTAGAATGAAATTCAAAATTCCGAGCATAAAAATCCTCAAAATCCTTAAAGCATAAATATCCAAGTCCTTTTGGTAATTTTATCTCTTTTTGAAAATATGCTCAGAGAAAAATTCAAAATCCCAATGATTTCTACCTACACAATTCAGTGTCATTGATTATATTTGTGTTGATGATTTTTTACAATAGAACAAGGTCCAAGACGGTGTACTTTAAAAGTAATGGCTTTTGACAATTTTTTACGTATGATGCGTGTGTGTGTGTGTGTGT